TCTGAAAAGAAAGCATCTGTCATGAGCATTTAAAGGAATGTAGGAAATATCAACAAAAAATACAACTAGTTGCCAATTTTTGTAATTGCACACCCTCACCCCCTGAGATGTAAAATGCATTTGGCAGTATTCTAAGTTTGTCAAATGGCACAGAGTATTTGTGAAATACCAACTACAAAATCATGAACTTGGAAGGCATTCAAATGATAAGCATATTAAAAACTTAAATATTAGAAATCTCACAGAATGAAAAGACAAGAAAGATGTCCATAGGACATGAAAGCCCAGCCGAGGGTATATTAGTAATGCAACATGAAAAGAGCTATATAAATCCTCCCCCCCCCTTAAATGTCATATTTTTAACATTTCTTGAAATGTCCTGAATTGTATATATTGTATGAACTAGATGTGTCGAATGCCACAGATGACTCTGCAGGCAGTTAAATAAGTTTCAAATGCCAAATTCAGTTTTAAATTTGTTTGCACAAAAGATTTTTTTTCTAAGTTCAGGGGACATAACTAAATTCAAACTTGACATGTATTTTCTGGTAAAAAAAATTTCATCCTTATACATACATCCCTACAAAAGTTAGAGAGCAGAAACTGAAAATTTCTTAATTTTTTCTAAATTCAAGAGAGATAACTCTGTCAAAAATCATTGGACCATGACCAAATTTGAACTTGACCTGTATTTTTTGGTAAAAATACCTGCACATGCAATTTCAACCTTATACATACATCCCTACAAAAGTAAGAGAATGGAAACTGAACATTTCTTATTTTTTTCTAAGTTCAAGACAAACAACTCTGTCAAAAATCATCGGACCATAACCAAATTCGACCTTGACCTGCATTTTCAAATGACATATCCATATGTCAAATTTGAGTTGAATGTGTCCAACTGTTGCAGAGATAATGAACGGGGAGTGAATAATGATGGAAAGACAGAACAGAGTAACACTATATTCCCCTGGCCATTTTATGGCGGGGGCAGAAAAATCTGAATTAACAAAAAATATCAATGTTTCCAAGCAGGTCATTGGCAATTTTTTGGCAATTGGCAAGGTCAAAGTAAAAAATGGTTGATGCAGTTCAATAGCTTACTTCATTATGTATCAGCATATGAAGTTTGATAAAAAATATCTTGAAGAGTTTCTTTAAAACTGAGCTAAACACTAATTTAAGAAAAGTAAGTCAAGGTCAAAGGAAAGGTCATGATCATGAAATGTTGATGCAGTTGAATAATTCTCCTCCAAATGTATCAGCAAATGAAGTTTGATAAAAAGATCCTATCATAGTTTCTTTGAAACTGAGCTTTAAACTGTGCTAAATGCAAAGCATAATGGAAGGACAGAAGGACAGAAGACGGACATGACAAACTCTATATGTCCTGACCATATTCATGTCATAAAAATGTATTCTGATGCATTGTGTTTATAGACCTATCTATAAATGTCTTTATAGTACTGATACAGGTCTCCCAAAAATGGCTAACCAGTAATCTGAAATGAAGAACTTTGCCATCTATAAATAATACAGTCAGGGTTTAACACTAAGGCACATCAGACCAACTTGGTTAAATGAATGGTATGGTTGTGTGCAATGTATGTGAACTAGACATTTTGGTCAGGTTGATAACTGTTAATTCCATTTCAGTCTTTTGAATAAATATATTCAAAATTGTAAAAAAAAAAAATCTTATTTGTACAAATGTAAACACAACCATTGCTCTGTAAGTTGAAATTCCCTTCATAACACAATTGTTATTTTTAGCCATAAAATTTTTTTATAATACAGTGCTACCTCAGTATATTGCCAACTTTTGTCCAAGACAGATTTTGGCATTAAAGCGAGGGTGGCAATATAACATATTCTGCCATAAATTACAATTCAATGGGTAATCAAAACAAAATAAATACATGTAGATTACGTAATTTATTTCCGTTACAATCTATTTATGTCACATGATATAAGGGCAGCTCTCATTTCTTTTTGAAAAAAAAGTCATTATTATTTTTTTTTCTTTTTGTTTACAATATTTTGAATGAAAAGCAATAAAAATATCAGAATATTGAACACATCAATTTCCTTTCTTCATGCACATGTTGAATAAGAATTTAATAACCCGATGACAAAGATGTCAGTGGCCGTTATAGCCTCTTGGTATAAAAAAAGTTTTTGAGAATTATCATTAATGTCATCTGAATCAAAAGTAGATTATTTCACCGTCTCAAGAATTTCTGAATCGGTTAAAATGTTCAGTTGGTAAAGCATCATGACTGACAAATGGTAAGTCACATGTCAGAACACGTCAACCCGTTAAATTAGACATGTATGCTCATGTTTGCTAATACCTGTGTACTTCTCTTCCGATTCTGTTTTGATATTTATCAATCAAACCAATATATGCCCGACAAATAAAGGAAATTTCAGGGCTAACGATATCCCTAATATTTTCATGTTCGGAATTATAGTTACTGTAGTCTAAAAAAAGATATGGGGTTTCCTTTTTGATTGATTGAATGGCTTCTTAATCTAAGGGGACGCAAATGATTTTTTGCATTTATTATGGTTTTGTGCATTATCCATGATAGGCTAACGATACCCCTAATATTTTCATGTGCGGAATTATAGTAGTCTAAAAAAAGATATGGGGTTTCCTTTTTGATTGATTGAATGGCTTGTTAATTTAAGGGGACGCAAATGATTTTTTGCATTTATTATGGTTTTGTGCATTATCCATGATAAGCAATAATTGGCGATATACAATCAAATAGGTCGAATGTTGATCAATCCTTTTTTTGTAATCTAAATTTGTACGCTTTCTTTCGCTTTACGTTTCCATTACTGTGATGAAATAATTCTTCTATCTTATAAAGACACTCCAAAGACATTGCTAATTTTGAGTTTTATGCACCAATTATCTTTAATCTAGCTGAATTCCTAGTCCAGCAAGTCGCTTCACCGCAACCACTGTCAAAGCATGGGTGTGGTGTCCAAATTACCAACACACGCTAGATAATTGGCATTGTTACAAAGGATTTTTTCTTACATAATTTGACCTTTTGTTTCCCAAAACCAGTGGCAGATGGCAATAAGCAGGGGTGGCATTATAACGGGTGTATTAATACAGGGGGAAATCTGTTCTTCAAGAATTCCTGGCAATAAGCGAGGGTGGCAATATGATGGAGGGCAATATACCGAGGTAGCACTGTATTTTTTTAGCTGTAGTAGACAAGTCTGGGCTGAAACGTATTGATATGGTATAAATACTTACTAAATAACACTTTCTGTATTTAATAATATTTAGGATAATAATTTTAGTAATGATTGTTGAATGTCTTCAAGGCTCATAATTTTCATGTCCCAATTAATGAACCAGACTCAAAATGGCTGTCAGATTCTTGACACGCATAAGAGATAGTTTCAAAAGTTACCAATTAAAACAAGCATTCTGAGAGTATTGCATTAGCAATACTAGTCCCCTACCGGCAAGTGTAATCTGGTTCCCGTTAAAAACTGAAAATGCCATAATTTCGTCAAAAATCAATGAAGTGGAATGAAATGCAAACTTGATCTGTAACTCATCAAGGTAAAGTCACATACCAAAAATCAGCTCAATATCTTCAAGCGTTTAGAAGAAAATTGCGGAAAACCCTTAAAAATTGAAGAGGTCTTAATTCTGTCAAAAATCAATGAAGCGGAACGAAATGCAAACTTGATCTGTAACTCATCAAGATACACTCACATACCAAAACTCAGCTCAATATCTGCAAGCGTTTAGGAAAAAAAGTGCGGAAAACCAAGTGGGACAGACTGACAGACAGACAGAGGGACAGACGGACAGACAGCCAGACAGACAGACGGACGGACAGACTCAGAGGAAACCTATAGTCCCCTCCGGTTTCACCAGTAGGTGATTAATAAGCAATTAAAAGAAGTTTGGTCAGGGCAAGTGATTTTATGGTTATTAAAAATTAAGGAAGGTAGCCTGACATGTATAGTACTTGTTAAAATAAATGTCAAACCCTGATACTCAAACCCTGTTATCTCGAACTATCATTGGAACTGTGGAAAAACTTGGAGATATCGGGAGGATTCAAGATGTTAAGGGTTAAATACTTATTAAATATAACAAGCATTCTGAGAGTATTGCGTTAGCAATACTAGTCCCCTACCGGCAAGTGTAATCTGGTTCCGTTCCCGTTAAGAATTGAAAATGCCATAATTCCGTCAAAAATTAATGAAGCGGGACGAAATGCAAACTTGATCTATAACTAATCAAGGTAAAGCCACATACCAAAAATCAGCTCAATATCTACAAGCGTTTAGAAGAAAATTGCGGAAAACCCGTAAAAATTGAAAAGGCCGTAATTCCGTCAAAAATCAGTGAAGCGGAACGAAATGCAAACTTGATCTGTAACTGATTAAGATACACTCACCTACCAAAAATCAGCTCAATATCTGCAAGCGTTTAGGAAAAAAGTGCGGAAAACCAAGTGGGACAGACTGACAGACAGACAGAGGGACAGACAGACAGACGGACAGACAGACAGACAGACGGACGGACAGACTCAGAGGAAACCTATAGTCCCCTCCGGTTTCACCGGTAGGGGACTAATAAGTGATTGGGACTTAAAAATTACACACATATCCACTGTATTCGAGATATCAGTGTTCAAAATACCTATGTTCAACTGCACAATCATGTATTCTGTAAACCAACTATTATTCCCGACAATTTTTATTCAGGATTCTTTACCTTGAAATCCATCTGCAACAGTAAGCATTAATTTTTGCAGTGAAGGAAACATTCTACCATAATACACTGTCACAACTTATGATTGGTTTGTAATGAGAAGTAATGAAGGTTGCGAAAATTACAGATCTTTCTTGCAGGCAAGTCAAAGTTGGTTTACAGTATATCTTGTTTATATACTGAACTTTACAGGGTATAATAACCAAGTCTTACCATTCAAAGTAATTTAATTTAATGTTTCCCTAAGTATGACATCTTCTGTCATCAACTGCCATCAGAAATTTGAATACTTAAGCCAGTTCCAATGTCCTCCTTTGCAAACCCTGGTATTCCATGTGAACTGACATTTGGTCTCCATCTGATTCTTAGCCACTCCAATTCTTGATTGTCTTGATTATCTTCAAAGAGAAAAAGAAGTCAACTCAACTTAAAATCAATAGCTTCCTATAAACTTAAGTCTAATCTTAAATATAAAGATGCTCTAAAAGATGTCAAATGTACAACAGTGCTCACTTGAGTCATTTAAGCTCTGCTGTTCTTCAGAAACTTTTTTATCCCCATGAAAAATTGTGACCTCATAATGTGACCTAATCTAGCTCCAATAATACTGCATCTTTGCTTGCTTTGTAACATACAATTTAATAACTCCAAAAAAATTGGGGGGGGGGGGCTACTTTAACACTTTCGACCACCATACATCCAATAAATGTTTTTAAACCCAGAAAGACCAGCAGGGGGAACAATGTAAACAGAAAGAGGCATACCTTTCTCTCTTATAATGTATAGTGGGGTATTTTTTGTGTGGAATGATTATTCTAGGGTTTTACAGATTTATTCCAATGGTACACATGATAAATAAGTGTAATAAATATAATTTCTGAAAAAAAGTCCAAGTCCTAAGGGGGGGGGGGGGGGTCCTATCCATAAGTATCTGTGCTGCTGACTTGTGGGGAATATTTTTCACTTTTTATCACTGTTGACTTGGGGGGAATATTTATCACTGTTGACTTATGGGGAATATTTATGACTATTTATCATTGTTGACATGTGGGGAATATTTATCATTGTTGGCTTGTGGGGAATATTTATTATCATTGTTGACTTGTGGGGAATATTTATCACTTTTGACTTGTGAGGAATATTTATCACTACTGGCTTTTGGAGCAATGCATTATTTTACTATAGATTTACATAAAAGATAAAAATTATTTTTTTCAATAAATATCTACCAAATCTAAAATTTAAAGAATCAATCATAATATAAATGTACTGAAACTAAATAATATTCATAATTAAGTCCTCTAAATCAATGCACATTGAACATGTTTGATATGCTGCATAGAGAGTTTTCCTTAACTAGATTTAAATTAGAATTTTATTGCAAATTTTTATTTTTATGCCCCCGGATCGAAAGATCCCGGGGGTATATTGTTTTTGTCCTGTCTGTCTGTTTGTCTGTTTATCTGTTTGTCTGTTTGTCTGTTTGTCCGTTTGTCTGTCTGTCTGTTGTCAACTTTAACCTTGCCCATAACTTTTGATTGGTTGGAGCTATGACTTTCATATTTCACATGTGTATTCCTTGTGACAAGACCTTTCTTTTGGTACCATCATATTTGACCTTTTGACCTTGACCTTGGAGTTTGACCTACTTTTGCAAAATTTTATGAGACTTTAACCTTAGCCATAACTTCTGAACAGTTGGTGCTTGGGGTTTCAAACTTCACATGTGTATTCTTTGTGACAAGGCCTTCCTTTGGATATCAACAACTCTGACCTTTTGACCCAGACCTTGGAGTTTGACCTACTTTTGAAAAACTTTAACCTTGGCCATAACTTTTGAACAGTTGGTGCTTAGGGTTTCATACTTCACATGTGTATTCCTTGTGAGAAGACCTTCCTCTGGATATCAACCACTTTGACCCTTTGACCTTGACCTAGGAGTTTGACCTACTTTTGAAAAACTTTAACCTTGGCCATAACTTTTGAATGGTTGGAGCTAGGGTTTCATACTTCACATATGTAATCCTTGTGACAAGACCTTCCTTTGAATACCAACCACTTTGACCTTTTGACCTTGACCTAGGAGTTTGACCTACTTTTGAAAAACTTTAACCTTGGCCATAACTTTTGAATGGTTGGTGCTAGGGCTTTCATACTTCACATATGTAATCCTTGTGACAAGTTCTCCCTTTGGATACCAACCACTTTGACCTTGACCTTGATGTTTGACTTTTATTCAAAAAACTTTAACCTTCGCCATAACTTCTGAACAGTTGTATCTAGGTCTTTCAAATTTCATAGGTGTATTCCTCGACACAAGATCTTTCTTTGGGTATCAACATTTCTTATCTTTTGGACTGGATTTTGACTTGCATTTGAAGAAACTTTAACCTTCGCCATAACCTGCCATACGGGGGCATCAGTGTTTCACAAACACATCTTGTTTCTTGCATAAAACTGTTTTCAATTCAGAACTTATAAGTCAGTCTATGCGAAAGTTTTTTGGACCACACTGGACATTCAGTCCTGTGTAATTTTTAATTAATGCAATGAATACAAAGGACTGAACCAAATTTTGTCAGACCAAAAAACCTCTTGAGTAGGCCTAACAGCTTTTCTTTTACCAGGGATCACTCCCACATTATTCTGTAGAGTCCATGCAGTTTTAGTGACATTTAATTACGTATTTGGAATTGTACAACAGTTTTTACTAATAAAAAAAAACATTTAAATGACTGCGTCGAAATAGTTAAGCTCAAAACCGGACACTGAGACATCAGACATTCCGGTCCGGTGTAAAAATTGACACATAAGGCCAGAAGCACTGCACATCGGTCAGGTTCGACGGTCTGATGTCTTTCGCATAGACTGAAAAGTAGATTAAAGAGAGGTAAAAGTTATAAATCATAGGGGTATAGGTGTTAATTCAATCATTGATGGATTTAACTTAAACCAATTGATTACTCTCAATTATAATCAATCATTTATTAGTACATATTGTAAAATTTTCTGATAATTCAATATTTATCAACATGGTTATATCTTCACAAAGAATTTTGGCTGAAGTAAGTCGGAGGTTAAAGTGATCTGTTCTGAATGACTGAATCATGAAACCCTTGGAATTTATTAATGCATTTAACAAGTCAGTAGTAATGTTACCCTCATCATTCTCATCATTAACAACATATTGTGCAATGGGTAACATCATATAAATAGTGCTTATTTTTTAGGGTAAAATTAATAAGAGGCCCATGGGCCACAATGCTGACCTGAGTAATTTTGGCCTTGCTTTTCTTCATCTGATTTTCCCCCTTGTAATACCTATTGTGGCCCCGCCCTACCCCAAGGGGTCATGATTTGAACAATTTAGAATCAGCTTTTTTGCCCATTGGTTCTTGAAAATAAGATTTTTAAAGATATTTTCTACATATTTCAATGTAAAACTTAGATTCCCTTTTGTGGCCCCGTTCTATCCCTGGGGGTCATGATTTGAACAATTTAGAATTTACACTACTCCAGGATGCTTCCACATACGTTTCAACTTTTCTGTGCAAGTGATTCTTGAAAAGAAGATTTTTAAAGAAATTTTCTACATATTTCAATGTAAAACTTGGATTCATTTTTGTGGCCCCACCCTACCCCTGGGGGTCATGATCTGTATAATTTAGAATCTACACTACCCATGGATGCTTCCACATAAGTTTCAGCTTTTCTGGCAAAGTGGTTCTTGAGAAGAAGATTTTTAAAGATATTTTCTACATATTTCAATGTAAAAATTGGATTCCCTATTGTTGCCCCGCCCTACCCCCGGGGGTCATGATTTGAACAATTTTGAATCTACACTACCCAAGGATGCTTCCACATAAGTTTTGTTTTTTTTCTGGTTCAGTGGTTCTTGAGAAGATTTTTTAATGACCCACCCTATTTTTGTCTTCTCTTAATTATCTCCCCTTGGAAGGGGGCTTGGTCAGTTATTTTCACAATTTAAACTCCCCTTCACCCAAGGATGCTTTGTACCAATTTTGGTTAAATTGGCCCAGTGGTTCTTGAGAAGAAGTTGAAAATGTGAAAAGTTCACAGACGGACAGATGGACAACAGGTGATCAGGAAAGCTCACTTGAGCTTTCAGCTCAGGTGAGCTAAAAATGACATACTGAGAGAAGACTTTTTTCAACTGATGCATCAGTATGTACACTACAGTGTATTATACAGATCAATGTCTGATTGATAAGTAAAAAAAAAATTCTACATCAGAATTAATTTTAAAAGGCATTTAAACACTCTGCATAGGTTTTTTACACCATTTCTATACCCCAAGGGATCATGATTAAAAAAACAAACTTGAATCTATCTGAAGATGCAACCATATGAATATGACTAACCAAGGCTTTATTTTCTTGAACAGCTCATTTTTATTTGTAGGTTTTTCCTATGTTTTTCTATGTAAATCTTTGATCCAAAATTGTGGCCCCACTCAACTGTTACCTCAGGGTTTCACAATTTGAACAAACTTAAATCTGTGCTACCTGAGGATGCTCCCATATGAATATGACTACTCATGGTATTTGCTGTTCTCAAGAAGAAGATGTTTAAAGATCTTTTGCAATATATTCCTCTGTAAAACTTTGATTTCCCATTGTGGTCCTGCCCTACCCAGCCCCCAGGGGTCATGATTTGAGCAAAACTAAATCTAAGGACAAGAGAAAGAGAAAAAAACTGACCCTGGGGCCATGATATTCATAATTTTGGAACTCAGGAAGAGGCACTTTGCCATTTTATAGTCTGTCTATTTAATACCCAGGAGAAGAAAAGATTTTCAAAAATATTAAAGAATTTTCACTATACAAATTCAATAGACCACCCCATCTTCAAACATAAGAGCTGCTGACCCAAATTTCACAAATCTGGAAGAGGTACCCTTGATTAATATAACCATGGGCTCAGTTTATCTGCTTTATACCCAGAAGCAAGAAAGATTTTCAAAAAATTAATGCATTTTCAGTGTATATTCAATAGAACCATGCCTTAGCACCAGAACAAGTGGCCATGATATTCACAATTTTAAAAGAGGCACTCTTACTCATCATAACTACAGTACCGACCAGACACAACCTAACAGAAAGCGAACCCAAAGCGCACCCCGGGTTCGCTGCCTGGGTTCGCTTGGGGTTCGCTATAGCGGACCCCGAGCGAACCCGGAGCGCACCCCGAGCGAACCCGCAGCGGACCCAGAGCGAACGCCGAAAGCGAACCCCAAATTCAGTAGCGAACCCAGAAAGCGAACGCGCGTTCGGTGTTGCGTAACTGATCTGTCAATCAGGATTAGCGATAAGACGTGTTAACCAATCAGCGCGTCGACCGATCAGCATGCCAGTTTGTCATTCGATGTAAATAAAACATTCTACAAGCAAAGCGTGTTTATGTACAGTATGAAATTATTATTAACACGATTAAAAAATATTTATATTTATAAATTAATATCTAGGTAGCATGTTATATTCACACATTTATTTTCTTTATTTTTTAATTTTAAAATCCATTTATCTATATTGCGTAAATTTATCAGACAAAAAGTTCTTTAATGTATAAAAGAAAATAATGGTTATCACAATTGTTACTGAAAAAAAAAAGTATTTTGACAAATTATAACATTTCATTATCTCAAGATACTGCACAAGAGTATGTATATGTACGTGCTTTCATTCAATTATTTTATTTTTATAATTCTAATTTACATTTTTGTTTAAATCCAGATAAACATCAAAATTATTAATCTTAATTGAAAAAAAGTAAAAATAAATAAATAAATAAATATATAATAAAAAGTAAATAAATAGATGAAAAACAGCATAAATGTACATGTACAGTATGTCCAATCGTAAACTACTATGGTATTATTTTGATTTATCTTTTACAAAAAAAATAATGTAAAGCTTGATTTACCTTGTTGTTTTTTTTTATTATTATTAACTGAAATAAAAAGAAAAAAAAAACAACGCGCGATTTACATGTACATTATTGAACGAACTAATTATCGGTAGTAAATAAGCAATATAATAAGTCGTACAGTATTGTATTCTTATAAATAGCGTAACTTTAAATGATAAAGCGTATTTAAGATGTTTAACGATTTTTTTTCTCTGATGATGGGTCACGTTAACTGCTTATTGTGGTCATGATATTTTTATACCAATACATCAGAAATGTACATTTTTACAAAAAATTATTAATTCCCAATACTTACATAAATAATTAGTCGACAAATGTACACGACATGATTGTCGGGGTTACTTTTTATCCCTGATACTTATTATTATTTCAATTTCTGTAGATGAATGAATTTTAAAAAAAATGCTGATTTTTGAATTCATAAATGGAAAGATGAATATAAGTATTCATTCATTATTTAGGCCACTTTAAAAAAAAATTTTTACCCCCATACTGCATATTATAAAATCCAATAGAATCAAAACTCACAGTCAACCTATATCATATGATAGGACATGCTGCATTCGATCATAAATTACATTTTTACGTATGAAAAAGATAAAAAAAAAATTCTAAGTCGGAGAATTACATTAATAATTATTTGTAATCTAAAATACCTATTAAATCTTATTTACATGTAGTTTCAAAAATATTTTTTTCTATAATTTTTTTTTCAGTTATCCAAGTCGATTAATTGCAGCAGTAAATATTTTTAATCTAAAATATCTATTAATAAGTTTTATGTTGTTTTTTTTTTAAATATCCACTCCTAAATATTTTTAACCATTTTGTGTAAAACGTGATCGTTCGTGTATGTTGTCAACAATAACATTGCAGCCACTGCACACGCACTTGTATCGATCGCCACAAAAACAACAATGATCGATTTCACTGCCGTATTTGGAATAAACAAGGGCGGAGCTTACTGGCGGCAAGATTAAAGCGGGGTCCGCTTCTCGCATGAGTGCGTAAAGCGAACCCAGAAAGCGAACGCCGGGTTCGCTCTAGCGGACCCAGAGCTGACCCCGAGCGAACGCAGAGCGAACCCGAAGCGAACCCAGAGCGCACCCAAAATTTCTGAAAGCGGACCCGTAGCGAACCCAGAAAGCGAACCCGGGGTGCGCTTTGGGTTCGCTCTGGTGTTAGGTTGTGTCTGGTCGGTACTGTAAGTAGTAAGATTGGTAACCTGATGCACATGATCAAAGAAGGAAGATTTTCAGAGAAATAATGCATTTTCACTATATAACCAATAGGGCCCTGCCCTAACACCCAAACTACTGACCCCTTGGGGAATAAAATTCAAAATTATGGAAAAGGCGACTTTATTCATCATAACCATGAACTTAGTATTGTTTTCAATACTCAGGAGCAGAAAAGAAATTTTCAAAGAAATCTATACCTGTATTATCCATAGACCACACCCTTCAACCTCTCATCCTGGGGGCTATGAAATTCACAATTTTTGAAGAAGCACCCTTGCTCATTATAACCTGCACTTAGTTTTTTCCCCTTAATAATCAGAGACAGAGAAGAAGATTTTCAAAAGAATTAATGCATTTAAACTATACATGTAATTATCATTAAAGCCCCATCCTAACACTAGAACCCTCTATCCAAGGGTCATGAAATTAATAATTCTGGAAGAGGTGCTCATCATAACATTGTACTTAGTCTGTCTGCTTCATATCCAGGAGCAGAGAAGAATATTTTCAAAGAAATAATGCATTTTCACCATATTTAATCAATGGAGTGCCACCCTTACACCGGAACCCCTGACCTTGGGGCAATGAATTTCAAAATTTTGATAGAGGGCTTAATGCTTATTCAACCATGGCAGCAATTCAACTACTTGATTTCCAGGAGTAAAAAAAAAAGAAGATTTTTAAAGATTGCAATAGTTTTAATGGGTTTAGCCCCATCCCTCAGGCCCAAAGGGAGGGGGTGGCAGAGATAATGAAATTCACAATTTTTGTTCCCCTTCATCATACTAGATATTCTTTGCTAAAATTGGTTGAAATTGGTTCATCGGTTCCAGAGAAGAAGCTAAAAATATTCAAATGTTAAAGAAGGATGGACAAAAGTAGATAGCAAATAGTTTATCTGAGTGACTTAGGGTTTCATTTGAAAAAAAAGGGCTAAAATTAGCACAAAGTTAATTTGAGTTTCCTTTCAAGTAAGATCAATTGAATAGGAGTGAAACGGTTCACCGCGGTATCGATGCACCGCGGTATTTTTTCTCGGTTTGATACACGGTGCAAAATCTCTAATTTTCGGTTCGGTTCATTTTTCGGTCGGGATCGTTATTCAGTCGGGTTTGGCATAAGGTATAACACGTTACTCAGAATAAATAAGTATAGAAAACGTAAATTTTTGATGAGTGATAGCATGTAAAATAATTTTTGACAGTCAAATAATTTTAATCAATTTCTTCTAGTCAATTTGCAAATAAAATTCGTAAAATATGTGACTAGATTTAGAAAAAGAAAGCATAAAACAACGTAGAATTTGTTTCCTTCTATCAAAATGTATCGTATCGAAAATAACCAAACCGAGACAAAATTATACAATACGTATCGAACCGTGAAGGAGGTGTATCGTTTCACCCCTACAATTGAAAACAAAAAAGTACATTTCAAAGACTGAATAACCATGAGGTCAGCAAATGAGGTCAGTGAATATTTTTTTATGGTAATGGAAGCATAGATTTCAAAATGATAATTGTTTACTTATGATCTTTTACAGTTATCTTGACTTACCAAAGCCTTCTGTTACAATACAGAAATCCAGACAGAATGCATTCAGTTATATACTCTTATCCTCCAATTCCATGCAGAGTTGTCTGTTAACATCTGCGTCTCAGTCTCCAACATTTTCAAGAAGAAAGTTGCCTTAAGTTTGCTCTTGTTGTGAAAACTCCAAAATCTGCAATAATAGTTTTTCATTAGTATATGTGTATATTTTTACCCATGATTACAAGAAAAGTCTATGAGCTACATCACTCAACACCGATTTTTGACCCGAATAGCAAATATAATTTGTCAGAGCTCTCAATACAACTAACCCTGTCTCGACACACTTAAGAAATAAAATATAATTTGTAATCTTTGCATCAACTTAGATAGTTTTAAAAGACATTTTGCTTTTTCTGGAGGGGCGTGATCAAGTCCAACATCTGGGATTGAATAATACAGGTACTCATTGAAGAAGAAAAGAAGAACCGGGAAGACCTGTTGTGTACATGGTGTACATGATACTTAAATTTGCACCAGTCTGCAACTTTATTTGTTATTGACATGAACAATATTTCAAATTCTTTTTTAGAAAAGGTTTAAATCTCAAAAGTTCAAGGGGTCACAATCTTTAAGTTATACCAGTACGTCATGTATTTTTTAAAAAAAACGTGAAAAGCGAAAACAGTACAAAAAAGATGAATGATCATCGTCAAAGCAATAAAGTTCATCAAAAGCAAACATTCTTAAAGGGGTGGGACAAAACAGGTAGATCTTGTGATACAATACGTATCTCAATACATATAACATGATATGATAAATATCTCGATATTATAATAAATATATATGAAAACTATAAAATTAAAACTAGAGTGTTTAAAGGAACATGTGTCGCCTACTCTGTAGCTTCCTTAAAGGTGAAAAAAAGATCTAAAATTGGTCAGTTTTTTATTTACTTTTAGCATGATAGTTCATGCATTTTCCTGCAAAGAAAAACTGCACCCACAGATAGTATAAGACTCCGATAGAATCTGACAATCAAAGAATATATGGTTCTTTAACCCTGGCCTCAAATGAATAATCTAACTGAAATTATTAGAAATATCTTTTTGTCATTTTATTAATACATATTTCCAACAATTAATCCTCAAAAACAGATTTCAGCCTGTCCTTACTGCAATTGTCACTCTACCCAATCCATTGTGGAATACTGATCCCAATGTATTTTCATTGTATTTACATGTGAGTTAACTGAATTTCATACAGTTTCAAAGTACTTATCATGAGCTAAATATGTTTCCAATAATCCTCCAAAAGAGATTTCAGTCTATCTTTACAGCAATTGTCAGTCTTAACATGATCCATTGTGGAATACCTTGTCCTGATGTATTTGCATAGTATTTTATTAAAATATAAGTTTATGTGGGTAACTGAATATCATACAGATTCAAATTACAGTATCATGAGCTCATAAACATGTATAAATGCTAAATATCAAAATCCTGTCTCTCAATTTCAAAAGTCATAAGTTAACCTAAACTCCCAAGGTATTTTTTGTAAAGTAGGTCAAAGGTCAAGGTCAAGTGGATTGCAATGCTGGTATTTTTCACATTGTGTTACAACAAACAGTGCACATGCTAAATGGCACAGAAATACCTTTTAAATGTCAAAAATATGCTGTAAATCAGCCCTATGAACTATTTTGAAAAGTAAGTCAAAGGTCAAGAGGTCGGTAACCATGGTAATTTACAAAAGCCATAGTGCCAAGCAATATATGTGCAAAATATCAAATCCATACCTCTTACAGATCTTGAGATATAGGGTGTGACAGACGGACAGACAGACACCTGGTAAAGTGATCTCTTAGTGCCGCTCTGCTCTGCAGGTGACACAAAAATTTAGTATTTTATTTCAATATTTGTCTACTTGACAATAAATCAAGATTCTATATCACTCTATATCAAACCAAATGTGGTCGCCCACGTGGCACAGTGGTTAGAGCGTTTGCTCTAGAATCGCGGAGTAAGGAGTTGATCCTTACTTCGCAGGTTTGAATCCCACTGTGGGACGTGGAAACCGGTCCTTCAGATGAGACCGTATAAACCAAGGTCCCGTGTTGCAGTAGGTGCTGGCACGAAAAAGATCCCTCACTGCTCAATGGCAATGAGTGCCAAGCATAGGTCAAAATTTGCAGCTCTCCACCGGCAAGTGGTGGCGTCTCCATATGAGTGAAAAATTCTCCAGAAGGACGTTAAACAATAAACAAACCAAATCAAATGTGCTTTGAAACTGATACTTGAAGTTCATCAATTTCCTTGACTAAAAATTTACAAAACAATATTCTAGGGCATATTTACTACCGATATTCGGACTTATTTTTCCTCAAGAGAAAATTTCCCTTAATATCCCCATTTTCCCCTTTTGATGAGTACAAAATTCCCCTTACAATAATGAAAAGCACAAATATTTTTTTTTTTCTTTTATAAAAATTTTCAGACTATGTGAAAAATGGATTACTTTGCTATTTTATGCACTCTAACTGGTCATTAAAATGCTGAAATTGGGCCCCCCAGCAGGGCTTGTCCAGTGACAGTGGCCCTCAGACCCCGGCTGATTTTCCCAATTTCTCCAGTAAGGGTAATTTCCAATTTGTTTCAAAATTTCAAATTCTTTTTAATGAAATTTGAGAATCCATGCTTTGTTACTGGCTGTTAGTGCAGATGGACACTAACTAATAATATTAACTGTTGTGGAAACGATACTTTCTGATGCTTTACAAACTGAACTTTTCTATGTACAGTACCTAACCGTCTTCCGAGGATGCTCAAGAGTGAAAATGTTTTCCCTCTTATCTATGACTTATTAGTTGTAAAGAGCGTTTACAATACCAATATCATCTCTTCACTTGGTAAAAGCGGCCATTTTCAATTTTTTGATAGGTTGTTCATGTATCGTTTCGTACTGATATTTCAATGCATATATATCATAAACCGTATCTTAGCAGAAAATATTGGTATGTATTGGTTTATCAGTATATCATCCCACCTCTACCCTTTAAAAAAGCAATATTTATATATAAGATTATAACACTACTAGTCTAGAGACATAATTTTGTGTCTTTGAATGACTGAATTTGAACCCATCTCTGGCATGTCAGTCCAGTGTTCTATCAATTCAGGGACCAACCTAGACCCAAAATTTAGGGAGACTTCACTTCTCCCTCAGAGAAATGTATAAGGGAGAAGTTTTAATTTCTGGGGAGACTTCTTGACGCGCGTGGCACACATTGATCATTATTAAACTTTTTAAAAACAAGAGGCCCAGGGGCCACATCGCTCACCTGAGCACTGTGGCTAGGAAAAAGCAGAAATCAGGCGAAGTTTGGAGCTCAAAAGCGACTATTTCACCTCAGTCGCCCCCTAGGTTAGTCCTTGCAATTGAGGTACAAGTTTAACCCACTAGCCCAAGCCAGTATTAAAGAAGCTGTGTATCATACACTACCATACTAACACATGTATATAAAAAAAATAAATATCTTAAATCCTTAATTATTTATCATTGTTCCATAAGTGATTTATCATCATGCTGACTTTAAGCTTTTTTATAACTTGTTCTGAAGGGGAAATACCTTCTTTAGATGTAAATTTATAACTAAAGTGAAGCATGCTTACATGTATATTGATCAAAGTGTAAGAAACAGATGAGTATGCTTTGTTATAATTTATTTTACATATATGTATTAAGTTTATAATATATTTAAAGTCACTGGGATTGTAAGCGTCAATTCATTAAACATGTTTGTGCTTTACTGTAGTGCTTTTCATAGGCGCTTGTTTTATGAAGTATGCAAAGAGGTATAGCGCCCTTTCCCACTCTTGAACATTTTCGGAATCTCAGACACCTGACAACATGCAGACTTTGAACTGCAGACTTTACACTTAAGGGAACATGTCAAAAGAGTAATTTGAATGATACATTCGAGTATATTTTACTGAACTTGATAATCAAATTTTGTTCTTATTTGTACAAGTTATACATTTGTACATAAACACATGATGTGAGTGGAAGGGGGCAAGGGGGCTGCCCCCCACCTTTTTCTGAGAAATCAATACTTTTTTTGCTGTTTCCCGATAACTTTTTTTCCTTTATAAATTAGTAACAACAAACTCCCAACAACAAATAGAAAACAGGGATCTTCAAGAGCTAAGAAAATTTTATAAACTTGGATACATGTAAGTTATGGAGGGCACAATCTGTAAATAAAAGTGAATATTAATTTTTTTCTTTCTTTTTATGTATCAGTAGAAAACAAGAAATTTAAAAACAGCTTATTGAGACAAAAGAGTTACATTTATCAATAACATATTAGAATACAAAAATATGAAAAAGATGTCAACCCAGATTTATCAAGTAAAAAAAATGGAAAAGGGGGGAGGAGGTCCATGCCCCAACTGCTTGTGGCTTCGACAAGCTCTACCACTTAGCTTGCTACACTTTGCAACTGGTAGACATGGTAGAGCAAGTAAATTAAAGACAGATTTATCAATCGACTAATATTTTTTTTCACACCTGAATACTAGTACTGGTAAACTTATATCTTTTCATGGAATATATCATATCAATTGCACCACCTTTTATTGAATCTGGATAATAATTAGATTTTATAGGTTATATTCTGGGCAGAATCTCAAGTAATATGTGATTAATAATATCTTTCAATTGGGTATTCTTTCATCCAGAATATGATTATTAGACAGCAAAAATTCTATAATAGGAAATGTATGTCATCTCTTGAAATAAAATTCCCAAAGGCTTATTTTCTCTTAGCTTTAGACTGTTCAAGGTAGATCAGTCGGTAGAGTGCATGCTCCGTGATCGGGAGGTCGTGAGTTCGAATCTCAGCCACGACTGACGTAAGTCGATAAAAAATGAGTAGCAACTGTTCCTTTGCCATGTACTTGGCACTTTGAAGTGAAAGTTGCGGGTCCTTCGGACTCTTGGAAATGTGCCAACTCACCCCATTTCGTTGGGTTACACCCGATTTTTCGACCCTTAACCCGATTATTTTTTATGACACGGCGGGTCATGCTTTTCACCTGATTTTTGCTGAACAACCCGAAAATCTCCTGATTTCCAGATTTGGTTCATAAATTAGGTTGCACTTTTAACTTCCAGTTACAACCCAAGCTTGGATATAGTACGTAAACAATGCCGATGGCCATGTTCAGTAGGCCGTGTACCAGTGAATTATCAGTGCAGGTGTAAACAATTACCTGAGAGTTGTTTTGAAAAATCAAAGTTTAAAGTCAATTTAAAATGGCTTCCGATAGAACGAGGTCATTATCAGGGCAAGCAGGAACAAATTGAACCAAGTAAAAGAGAAACGATATTTATGTACATATCAAGGAATCTTGGAAAACAACTTTCATTAGATAAAATAAAGTGTTTGAAGATAGTGTAGACATAACTGTAAATTTAATAGCACTTTTTAATTAAATTAATTCGAGGAAAAATAACTTCAAAATCAAAATTGGAATACATTGTACTTTCAAATTTAGCACATTTAACTTTCCATGTACTTCAAATCAGCAATGCAGATTCTGAAAAGACTTTCCTTTAAAAAATATGCGCACTTAATTCAGATCAATATACTGAATAATGAAACCTTAAATGCTCTTCTAACATGTAAATTTAATCAATATATATAAAATTTTTTGTCATTCTCAGTTAAAGCCACATTTTAATAAAATAATTCTCAATACACAAATGCTTATATATGCATTTATATTTAATTTAATCATGGTAAATGTGTCATGAATGTCATTACGCGTTATATGACCAGATTTTTTACTTTCCAAATCTGGTCATGACCAGATTTTTACACGTTGGAGGTTGGCAAGTATGGAGATGTGTCTTTTTCTGCGCAATTGCAATCAAAGTTCTAAAAGTTTTGGGGCTATAAACAACAGTTAAATTGTGACCTAACAGTTACTTCTTGAGTGAAATAACAAAGAAAACCAGTTTTGGTTAACATGAGCACGATGTGAAGTAATCATACTTATCCACACCTCATCGCACACAAGGTGGTGCACAGTTACTCAAACAATGGAAATACATATTTTTCTTAAAAGTGTTCAAACGCAGCAATGTTAAAGCTATCTCTGCTTTAGATTGCTTTTTAAATAATACCTAGAATGAATATTAGTAGAAATTTACTTGCCGTTTTTTGTCTTTTTAAAATAAAAAGCAAAATTGTGAAAAAGTTCCTTGAAATAGCTGAATAAAGCTACCTGAGGTAGGTAAATAAAGCTACGGTTGGTAATTTTAGCTACGTAGCTAAATGTACCAGGGACCTATATACTATATAGGTCCCTGAATGTACTGATTGTGCTGGACCTGCTAACGGTCGCACCATCAAACATATTTCTTCATGGGCATATGATTTGCAAAGAAAAAAAAAAGGAACAACCTTCCAACGCCTATCAGATCCCGGGGGTAAAGTACTGAATATAAATTCTTATTTTTTTTTCTGACACTGTCTGAAGTGGGCCAAAGTTTCACGTTACACTACATGGTTTTAAATGTTACTTTTCTACTACGAACTTCATGTACTACTATATGCATTACTTTACGCATGATTTACGTGTCTAAAGCTAAGCAGGTTGTTGTAAGTCTAATCAATAATAAAAAATCTAACTACTTACCACATGACCATGATGACTGTCACCTCGGAGCCGCCATTACCCGCAATAAGTTGGTTTTCCGCTCCTTGTTAGCCTTTGAAAGTTTACGATGTTAGGGGGACCAGTTTAAACCCCGCTGCATTCCGAATGAACATTTCCCAGCATCCCCAGACATTCGTTTTACGGTGCAGTGAGAACACAGAATGTGGGTTAATTTTGCCGACTTATGGGGAATTTTTCGAAAATGAAAACAAATCGATTAAATTTTATCAGTAGACTACGTAGAATCCAAAAATACCCATGACCATATTTGTGGGGAACGAGAGATTTCCCCACAATTCTCAACTTTCCCCATAAGAAAGGTCCTTTGTCAGGTGTGAGTTCCCCACAAGCTGGTAAACGCGGGTGCTCTCTCTCTCTCTCTCTCTCTCTCTCTTACCCATCATAACCGACTTGTGAGGAATTGGACGCCTGGAATATGTTGTGGGGAAAGTGTTTTCCTATTATGTTTTTATTTAAATAATGGGCAATTCTTACAGAAAATACCTGTTTTGTTGCTTTCTCTCGTTTCTTATCTTAAAAATAACCTATCTGTCGTTTCAGTATGTATTCGAAAATTATGGGGAATGTTTTTTATCACTTATTTTTATGGGGAACATTATCAGAACTCCTCTGGATTTACTATTAAATTAAAACAACATCACTCTTAACTTTTTACGTGTATTTTTCTCTACATCTTCCGCTAATTCATGGTTACAATTTAATATACACATAAAACATTTCGATTAAACTCCATTTAATAGCCTAAAATTGAATGTACACTGCATGTCAACCTCATTGAGTCATTCTTTCGACCTTCGATATGACGTCACAGCATATGCACATGTTACGTCGAACATCGAGCCCGATTCAACGTATTGATAATTGATTTTGTTCTTTGATATTTATATTTTTAAACGTTATCATGGTAATCCATTTAAAACATGTTTGCACCTAGATATTATTTTAGTTACGCAAGGTTGTTTTAAGTTTTTTTTTAAAGAACGTATTATTCCCTTTATGACTAATAAGACTGAAATATTACTAGAAAAAAAAATTCTGTGTGATTTCAATTTTGTACGATGTAATTTTGCTTTAACCATTTTTTTTCCATCGCAGTTATAAAATACAAAAATATTAATGATTTTTTTTCTCTGTAATAATTA